CCGCGGGGTCAGGCTCCTGCGGGCCCGGCTGGTGTTGAGTAGGCCAGAACCCAACAAGACCCTGAGTTTGTCAGGTACCAGTTTTATCTTGTTTTTAAGCGGAAAAAGAGCATTGGAGTCCGGTTTATAAGTTTCATCCTGGACTCTTTCCAAGTATATGATAGAAAGGTGCCATTCCTGCCTTATTTGGTTTAGGACTATAAGCTATCAAGTTGGGGTAATTTTGCAGTCTTAACAGGATGATTTTTAAAGATAGCTTGCTGTAAATCATGTGGAAAATGTCAGCGAGGAATTTTTTTCTTTACTTAAGATTATTATAAAAAGTAATTATTTGGAAGCCCAAATGTAGAGTTTAAGGTAAATGTGAAATTGCATGAACTCACATTCTTTTTCATTAAAGGTTATTACAAGATATTGAATATAGTTCCCTGTGCTGTGCAGCAGAAACTTTTTAAAATCTATTTTTATATATAGCGGCTAACATTTGCAAATCTCAAACTCCCAAATTTATCCCTTCCCACTCCCTTTCCCCTGGTAACCATAAGGTTGTTTACTATCCCTGCGAGTCTGTTTCTGTTCTGTAGATGAGTTCATTAGTTTCCTCAGTTCTTAATTTTATGTGGAATGGAAGAACAGAAAATATAATTCCTCAGAGTTGAGATTTCTTAGGAAATTTTAGTTTGCTTTTGTGTTTGTCACGGTTAGATTAAACTGTCAAAATAAGGTATGGCTAACAACTAGGACTTATAAATTGGTTGAAAGCTGACTCCATTAAGCATAGATTATATTCAGCACCTTCTGGTCAATTGCTTCGTCTTGCCATTTGCAGTGTTGGTGGCAAAATTAGATTTTAAAAGGTAGTTTTATCTATGAAATAACCTTTAGGATTCTTGTAACTTACAAAATTGTCAATTCAGATTGATGGGAGATTTTTATTAATAGTATGTGCAGCTTATCAATGTTAATTTAAGTTATGATATCAATTTCATGTTTACTTCTGATTAATATCATTTTTCAAAATACTTTTTATGGATTTATATTTTAGGGGTAACTTTACTAGCACTTCTTGGGGAACACAACAGGTTCTAACTTCACAGTTTATCAACGGTCTTCTAAAAAATACTGTGCTGCACGATAAAGGATAGATTGTACTGCCGGAGATTATGGTTTTCTTTTTTCCTCAGTGATGTGTTGACTTAATACTTGTGGTAAAGCAGCCCTTGAAGACCAAAATCCACTGTACTATGCCCCTTGCCAGCAATTTTGAAAACCAAGCCTATATTTGGACCATTTAGACATTTATTCTTTTAATTTTGGTCCCAGCTGACATATAAGTCTAATTTCTGGTGACTTTTATTAGCGCCCTATGTGAATGTCTGGAATTTTTTTTTTATATGAAAATAAGTAGCTCTCTGCCATTTAGAATTTTGTCACAGTGCCTAAGCTGCCTGTCTGCCAAGGCTGCAAGCGTACAACTTCATTTAGGTTTTAAATCAACATACAGTTTTTTGGCTTTTAAAGGTGCTTGGTCTAATATCTCAACTAAAATGTTAACTCATTTGGTTAGAAATCTTTACTGTTTTGCTAAACTTAAGTAACAAGAATATTCAAAAAATGTCCCAACAGTAGTTTTTATAGATTTTCCTACTACGACTTTTCCTTTATAATTAAAAAAATAAATTGCCAACCCTTAGGGAAACTTTGGGAAATAATGTTTTTTGTTTCTGTCATAATCTGTTTACAGTTCCTTTGATTTTTATTTCACTTGTGTTACTACAGTTAGGGACTTGGTTGATTAATTTGGTCTGGATGTTTAGCTTCCTCCTCTGTAGAATGATGAGACTGGACATAGTCTCCATGTCCCTTCCAACTCCAGAATCTTACAATATTGTTTTTGTTTATGTAATTTGGCAGAGCCACCCACTACACTGGTTCAAACTTCTGATTGTCAACTTTGACTTGCTATACATGTTAAACTGGTCTACATGTCGTCAGATCTGATGGGTGTGGATCCAGCTTTGGGGAGCCTGGATCTGACTCAGCAAAGTCTTGATACCTGGCCCATCACACAGACACATACTCCTGGACAGACTTCCATGATATTAAAGTTCTGTTTATTTTCTCCCCTCATCTAACAGCAGAAAGTGCTGGTTATGTCTCAGGGTTAATGCCTAACTGCTCTTTAGGGATAGTTAAACCAGGCCCTAAGATGGTTTGGTATTCAGTTTTGGAATTTGGGTCCCGGTTAGGGATACCACTGGAGAGGACCCAAATCTGTGTGCGGTTGGGAGAGCTGTGGCTAGTTACTTGGGAGCATTCCAGATGAAATGCCCTAATTGGGTTATGACTTTTAAAATCGTACCTCAGAGGAGACTTAATTGGACCTACCCATCTGGTTTATTCAGAATTAAATTGGCTTTGGGTAGGAGGGTAATCAGATAGCTATTTAATTTACCAGTTGTTAGTTAGCATCTTTGATTCAAGGCTTTACCTTGAATATTTGTTTATTTTCTCCTTCCTGAGCATGTTAGGTTTTCCTTTTACAATGCTCAGCACAGTCCCAGATCCCTGTTCATGTATTTGTCTCTATAGCATACTAAAATCATATGTATGGCTTTTAAGGAAACACATATGAAAAGAAAGTATAGGAAAAGTAGATCAGTAGTAAATCAACCAATTGACCTTATGGAGGATTTGGTTATTGCCTCATTTTAGTTTCTGTTGCAAGGAACAGAAATGAACTTGTATTAGTTTTAGGAAAAAGAAAGAAAGGGATTTGATGAAACCCAAGTACAGACAGACTTTACTAGGGACTGGACTGGAAAACCTGGAACTTTCCCTGCCTCTAGTCTTTGCCTTTCTTTGCTTCATTGTTCTCTCTTTGCTGAACTTTTCTTCTTTTTTTCTGTGTTCACGGTTATATGCGGCTACTCAGCAGCTCCTGAGTAAATACTTAGTAAACACTTTATGTGTCCCTCCAAGCACAGGTAGAGACAAAAATCAATGAGCCTTGATCCTGAGATCCTGTGAGAGAGAACCTGACAGACATAGTCTGGGTCACACTGTTGATCTAGGTTTTTCTAGAACCTAGGTGTCTTCTAATTCTAAGGTGTCTTCTAATTCTAGACTTCTTTGTATTATGTAGTGCAGACACTTACATGGTTTGATTTTGCACTTTTATATTTTATGTTATGGGGTTATTAGTCCTTAAAAAGTGTAATTTTCTCTTGATTGCAGTGTGTATAGAAGTGTGTCACCTTCAGTGGAATCCTAAGATGTGCGAGCAGTTCATTCATGCTGTGTCAGGAATGCTGAAGAGGAAGCCTCTGGGGTAGCTCCACATTCAGGAATGATTATGCAGCTCAGGATCCAACTCAGCTTTGAAAATCCTGTCTAATAACAGCTAGTCCATCCTGCAGATAATCATCTGCATATTTCAGAATTCACTGAAGTAAAATGCTGAGCTCAAATAGCTCTTAAGGGTTAACTCATTTAAACTATGTAAATGATCATGAGAGACATTCAAATTAGTAGTAGTTTAGGGTCCAAGAGTGCATCAGTTTTTTTTTTTTCCCTATCTCTCACACTTCTAGAATTTTCCACCTCTGCCTTTCCTTTAGACTGTTACTGATGCCTGGGACACCTTTCTTTCATAACCTGTTGAAGTCCTTAAGGGCTCTGTTGCATGGTATTTTGTGAAACTTTCTTCATCTCTTAGAATTTGTCATTTCCTTATGCTTCTAAAACGTTTTGACTGGAGCACGATTTTACCACCTTTCATTGTAAAGTCCATACTCATTCATCTCCTTGATTTGACTCTAAGTTCTGTGAGGCCAGTGAATCAGCCAGAAGAACTCAGACTGTTAGCATCCAATGTCCCAGGTATAATGCTTCCAACTTTTTTAAAAGTTCTGAAGCTTTTATGACATCCTTCTTGTCTCTACCTTCTTCTTTTGACATTGAAGCTCAGTCACACTATAATTCGTGGTTGGTTCTTGTCTATTTTCTAGATTTTATAGGCTTTTCCATGAATACTCTAGTTTCCTGTGTGAGGATCAACTACATAGAATGATAGGATGTTTTCCTATAAACTGAGATGGCATAGGGAAGGAGAATATAGCAAACTCATGTGGAAGGAAATTGACTTTTGTTGAGTACTCAATATTTACCAGATCGGATAGGGCAGGTGTAGAAAACAATTGGAGCATATATGAAGGTGAATAGTGGGAAAATAAACTATAAAGATGGAAAATTAGGTTTGGCCTACAAAGTGGAAGGCTTTTAATGCTAGACGAGGAAATTTGGACTGGGTTTAGTGAGATATGAGATTGAAGTTTTTTGGCCCTGGAAATGTCATAATCAGATTTGAATTATAGGATATACTATCTAATAATTCAGAGGATGAACTGAATTGGGAAAGAAACTATTGGACCAATAAAGACAGGTCATAAGAGTTTTTGCTAGAGAATGAAAAGACCTGAACTAGGGTAGTAGCAATAGGATTGGAGAACTGTTGCTGAAGTAAATTGGATAGAAATAAACAATTAATTGGATGTAGGGAAAGAGAAGGATGAGAAAGGTGATGATAAGATGTTAAGCCTGGGCGATTAAGAAAATGTGAACTTAGAGCAGATTTGTAGATGGGAGTAAAAAATAAGTTCTGTTTTATTTAATTTTTTTATGAGACTGACACGCTTATTTATTTATTTTTTTATTTTCTTTTTCTTGAACGATTTAACCTTTTTTTTTCTTTTATTATTTCACATTTTTATTTTTATTTTTGGGGAGAGGAGGTAATTAGGTTTTTATTTATTTATTTTTAATGGTGGTACTGGGGATTGAACCCAGGACCCTGTGCATACGAGGCATGCACTTCACCTCTGAGCTATACCCTCCCCCCCAATAAGTTCTATTTTAGATCTATTGCATTTGAGGCACTGGTAGAATGTTCATGTGGAGATGTGTAATGCAATTAGAAATGTGAGACTGTCACTTGGAGAAATGGGAGTTGGAGATAAAAGATGTATGAATAAGGAAAGTTAAAAGTAAAGCGGAGAAGAAACATTTGTTGACT